TAGGGAAAGGAGAGAGCTGGGGAATTTATGCAGACTTTCGGTTTGTACATCAACTATGAATTGCAGCAAGTATATATATTTTAGGTAGAAAGAGTAAAGGCTACAAAATGATCTAATTTTTTTTCTTTGCCTTTTTTACTTTTCAAGACATGTGGTTATCCAAAATTATTTAGTTTTCTCTCCAACTAATGTAGATGGTTGCATTCCCTTAGTATGAGAATATATTTTAAAATATAGATTGAAATACTATTAGCAGAAAGAGAGATAGTGGTTTAGGGCTGAAGCCCAGCTACATGTGTTGGATATTTCGTCAAACCTGCCAAACATTCCATGATAACTATATATAAATAAAAGTATTATTATGCTAAATATTCATTCTATATTATTAATATTTTTATATTCACATGTATTGCATCATGAAAATCACATTTGTTGAACATCACCCATAGGAAAGCTTCTACACCCGTGTACAGTGACACAGGCATTTGCTGCACGCTAATCCAATTCCTTTCCATTTAGTTCTCTCTCGTCCTCCCCATCACTTTCCCTCACTCTGTCTCTTGTTTCCACGTTGCTGTAATTAATCTGTTGCTCAGACCTTCCATCAGTCTGAATTAACCTACTTTCCCTCTAAATCATTTTCCACTCTCCTTCCCTCTACGAGGTGGGGGTAAGAGCCGACATGACGTTCTGTCTCTACAAACAGACAACGTTTTACAGCTTGAGCTTATGTAGACAAAAAAAAAATAGGACGACTTTTAAAATACTTGACTGCTAATCAAGTCAGCAGGTGGCAAAGAGGTTATTCTATCAGGGATTTAAAGATCCGATATGAGCATGGGATGTTGGCTAAATAGTTTAAAGAGGCGTATCGTACCAGTGTATCTTGATCCCAGTACCTGCATGCATACAGGTTGGCAGGTCAGGGGTAGACAGAAGACACAAAGTAACAAAGAGTCAGCTGTACAGAGATTTTGAACCTGAGTTCTTAGGTAAAGTATAAAAAGAAAGCTCTGAGAAGAAAAGAAACGTTCAACCAACAGCATGAAAATAACTTTATGAAGTTAGGAAAGTAATGTCCAAGTCAGGCCTGATAGCGTCAGTCTCTGGGACATAGAGTCTGTTGGTTCAAGAAAGCCCAGGTACCGGTATCCGGACCAAGAAATCAGATTGGTGGATCCTTACCTTTTACTGAGCTTTTAAATATCCTAATTCACCGGCCAGGGCATTGTTAAGTTGCTACAACTAAAAGTTTGTCACTGGTGTCAAAACGTTTGTTAGTAGGGGAACACTCTCGATCTTCCTTAGGTTCAGAGATGTCTCCGTACAAGACCAAAAAAAAAAAAAAATCTCAGCCCACTGTCTCTCAACTCAACTCAATCGTCATAGAAACAATATCTGCACTCCACATTCAACTTTCAGAACATGAAGAATTTTTTAAAATTATTTATAAATAATGATTTTGCACAATTCTTCTTAGAACTTTCCGTCTTCTCAGAGAACCCATACACACACCCGAGTCCAGAATCAACTTTAGTTACTCCGGCAGAGTCCCACGTTTCAAAGAGGAAAAGGAACTAGTACTTGTACCTTTGTTGTACATGTTGGTAGGAACCTGGACCACACTGAGGCTGAGGTTGACTGAAAGGTTGTTAAAGTGGTCATTGGGCTGAAGGATGAACTCGCCTCCGAGTTCCACGCTGTTCCCTTCCTCGTCCACCTCGTTGATCAGCACTGCGTTGAAGTATTCGTACTGGAAAGGAGGACATGGATAAAAGCAAAAGGGCAAATATTAAAAATAAGAAAGGCAAAGAGTAACCAGGCTGGTGTTGTTATGACATGAAATGTGGAAGCTGCTGAATCGTGATATTTTACATGCGGATGCAGAGTGGAATCACTAAGTGCTGAGGCAGAGAACAGCTTTTGTACGGAGGTTACCTGAATCCATGTATCATCCCATACATGTGAGTTGCTACAGAGAAAATCTGCTGAAGCAGATCTTCCTCCAGACTCCTGCCTGAGCTGCAGTTGCTCTGCTGCGACTATAGTTATTCTTGCTTATACTAGGCGGACTATTAATAAGTCGTAGCACTAGGTAAATATAGTGAGTGAAAGACTGTATCTGAAGATGGAACAAAAGATGCTCAAGTACATGAAAGTTAACAAAGTTAAAGTAGACCAGATACATGCTGGTACACAATTTACTGTGAACTCAACAGCACATGATTATTTTGAAAAAAACTAAATCTTTTTAATGCATGGCCTGAAGGACAAGCACTGTGTATCGAATAAATCCACTGCCCATCGTTACTCTAATACTCAGTGGATACACATGTTATTTGCACAGACAATTATTACTCGTTACTCTAATACTCAGTGGATACACGTTATTTGCACAGACTGTGGGAAGACGTTTTGTTTTGTGAAACACCTGGAGCTTCAAATATCATCTCAACATGTTTATATAAGGGTAGGACATTTTTATTTAATTAATATTATGTTTCTGGGGGGAGGGTTGGAACGAATTAGTTGTTTTTTAGTTATTTTAATGTAATGGAAAATGCAGACAGATTAAACTCATATATACATACATATACATCTATATGTTTATATATATGTGTGTGTACATATACATACATACATATATATGTATATACATGTGTGCATATATACATATATAGTCTATATATGTATGTACATATATATAGACTATATATATAGACTACATGTACTGACTATATATGTACATATATAGTCAGTACATATGTAGTCTATATACATATATAGTCTATATATGTATGTACATATATAGACTATATATATATATAGACTACATATGTACTGACTATATATGTACATATATGGTCAGATAAGGATAGAGAAGATAAAGAAATATTGCATTTCAATGTTACGGTTGGATAAATCTGATTTTCACTTTCAGCTGTTATCTTTAATAAAACACTCCTGTGTGCACATGGAATTTTAAACTAAAAATATATTTTACTTTGCCTTTTTTTGCATCTTACATAAGGTAACTGTATTTCTGTGCCTTTGTATTCATTGAACAGGAGACCCCGAAGCTCCTGGGAGTTACTTTCAGATAAAACAAAAAAATAAATAAAAATGTGTTAAAAAAATGGAAAAAAAAAATCCCATTTTTAGCAGCAGTGAAACAGTTTTGACCTGAAAGTAACATCTTGACTGTGTGAATCTGGGACACACACAAGTTTAATTTAGCCCCAGCATGCACAAGCAAACAGCTGCTAACAAATGCACAGGATATGACTAAAAAAGATGATAAAGGAGAACCCAAAAGAACACACCTGCAGAGGACCAGACCTTGTTGCTCGATGTTCGCTGTACTCCTATTCTTGTAATCCTCCAAAGATTAAAACCTATTCCTACAGTCACCTGTCTCAACATCATCACCTTTTAACATCTGACCCAAATGCTTTCACCAGGTTCTTTTTCTTAGAGTTAGAACATTTCTTAGGAGTGAGAGAGAACCTCACCACATCTGTTCTAGTGGGAACATTTGTTCTTGTGAAGCAGCAGGCGCGATCATGAAAAGACGGCTTGCAATTTGCTATCCATTAAGGAAATTAGTTACAAAGTCGTTTTTTTGAAATTAGAAAATTAAGCAAAGGAGCTGTAACTCAAACAGTGACTCAGGTAAAAAAAAGAAAAAAAAAAATATATAAGCACAGGAAACTGGGTCAGTAATTCCAGTGTCTCTCTGGACTTTAGCTCTGCCTTCAGAACTCTAGAGCATTGTTCTGGGCTCTGTAATTGACAGCATCTCATCACTCACACACAGCATCTATATGATTTTTTAAAATGGATTTGAAAAAGTTAAACAAACGCTGCTTAATGAGTCTGATAATTAACTTGTTTAAATTCACAGCGTGTGGCCTTTCGTTTGGATCAAATTGGTTCCCTTCAGCTGAGTTTTAACAGTGTGGGAGCGCGTAAGTGTGTCTGTGACGGTTTAAAGTGTGCGCGTGTGGGTGGGTGGGTGCATTAAGGTTTTACAAAGTGTGTGTTTATCGTTGTGTGCGTGGGTGTGTGGTGCAGTGAAGGAGAGTCCACAGCCACTAATGCAGGCCTGATCACGGTGTTGACGAGTGGATCTTTAACACTGCAGTGCCTCGAACTGGGAGATCGGTACAGACAGTACAGACACACACACGTCATTAGAGGGCGACTAGTTCTATCTCCATACCAAATTTCCAAAGTAAATAAATATTATGCAAAGACATATATGCAGTTGTGTTTTTGTTTTTCTTTTTTGTTTCAGTTTCACAATGCTAGAAACTATAATGGAAACAGACTATATGATGAATATAATTTAAAAAAAATACTGAGAGGAATAAAACGTTTTTTCAATATAGTAAAATGAGAAATTGATAAGAATAAAATAAAGAAAAATGTGTAAAAAGATGGGAGAAAATGCTATGATTAAAAACTTCTACAATATACAAATAATCTGAATCCATCAAAAGAAAATCTATTGGATTTCAGAAAAAGCCATTTTTTTAATGAAACACATTCAGACTCTGCAGTTGCGTCGTTTCTCTTTTGTCATTTTGATACTTGTCTTCATTTGTTTTTTGTGTCTCGCCTCTTGTTTCTCCTTCGAGCCCTCCCCTCCCTGCCTCCTCTGACTTCCTCCTAGTGATGGCCTAATCTTCCTCACCTTGTCTTGTCGGCTCCTCTACCGTCTGCTGCACATATTTGACTTTTTCCTTCCCTCTCTGTCTAGTTCTGAGTAGAGCCAGCATGAACATTTTCTGCACTTCACAGAAGATACACTGGCTAAATCAGACGTTCCCAACTCACTGAGTCACTTTGTTGGTGAGACTTATTTGATCAACACTGTTTGTGTTAATTTTTTTAACTGAACCATAGTATAAAAAAGTGCTTCAAAGTTTAAGTGACCGTTCCTTAGAAGACAGTTATCAGTATTTTCAAATGAAATGTGCTATTAGTTTATGCAATTTTGTTTTTATTTATCTTTGTTCATATATATGTATATATGTATATATGTGTATATATATATACACTACCTTTCACGGTAGTTCCATTCCAAGACCCACCACGAGATGGGAAAAATTGCGAAGTAATGAAAATCCACATTTTTAAGGCTAAACGTTCATATGTATATTTTTTTTGTAACTTCTTTTAGTTTATTTTTTGCTATAATTGGCGATATAGCGAAAATTTCGCAAGATCAGATTTTTTAAAAATCTGCGATGTACTGAGGGAGCGAAAGGAGAACCACGATATAGAGAGGGAACACTGTACATACATACACATATATATAATATTATATTTATATATGTATATATGTACATAGAGTACATAGTGTAAATATATACATACATGCATACATACTGTATATATAAATGTATTGTATATACATTCTTACATATATACTTTATATATACATATATATTTTATATATGTATATATTACATATATTAATTAAATACTGTGCATTCATTGACAAATAGCCCTAAATATTTTCTGCTTTGGTTCTCCTGTGCCAATTCCATAATTCCATAGGGAAACAAAGGGATTTTATGTCGGACAGACCAAACAAGGCATTTATTCATTTTATAGGTATCTACAATTATCTTTCACTATTTTCATTTGAGATTAAAACTAACACATTATGTGAGCACTTAGAAAGGAAGGTACTAGAATGACACACACACACACACTCTGAACACCGTTATTTATCTCTGATCTCTGAGCACACCGTCAACTCTCGCTGCTGCATAATCACACTGAGCAATTTGGGTAAATGCGCTCCTTCAGTTCCTTATGAAGTGTCTCACTTTAGGCATTTTAATATCTTTAATAAATTCCACCTTCAGAAAGGTCTAGCCTCTGTGCAATCGGAAAAAAAGTTAACAAATGTATTGTCATTGTACAGGATTTTCTTTTTGTGTTTTAATCCTTCAGATTCACAGATGTATCTATAGCTGCGGCTGTGCCGGCAGGTAGATGTGGTGAGAGTTTGTGTTTTCTCAGCTCTAGTCCTCACTTGGTTTTACTCCTCCCTGTTGATTTTTCCAAGGTTAGTGTAGGTGTGAAAATCCCCGCTCTTCTTTCCACAGTGTGGAAATGTGAGTGGAAAACAGCCATCGGCTGCAGACACAGGTGATCACTGAATAAACAAGATAACGGAGTCAACAGCGGAGAGAAGACTTAGTGTGGTTACATGACTCTGTCCTGTCTTTGAACTACTTCGTTAGCCATGTCATATTTATAGCACTGCAACACATACCACATACCACACTCTGCAAAGTAGTAGGCCTTACAAGCAGAGAGTCCTGGGTTCGATTCCCAGAGGAAGCACATACTCGGTGCCTCCGAGGGACAGCCTGTTGCAACAGATTTGCTGTTAACACAGGAAGTGTGAGATCAATACATCCTAGTGGTTTTATAATGTAGCAGTAAGCACGTCGGCCTCGCAAACAGAGAGTCCTGGGTTCGATTCCCAGAAGAATCACATACTTGGTACAACCAAGGGGCAGCCTGTTCCATTCTCCATTCAGTAAAAAAAGGTCTAGATCAGAGATTTCCAAAGTGTGGTTCCCGTAATTTCGGGAGCGCACAAGCTGGGCCACCACTAGGGGGTGTGCAAGATGATTTCTTTAAGGGTAAATTTTCCGGGAGCGCACAAGCTGGGCCACCACTACGGGGTGTGCAAGATGAAAAAAGAGTGACGGTGGTTTGGAGTGGGTTTTTTAAGGGTAAATTTTACAATCAATAAAGACGTGAAAATAAACATGTGAAATTTGTAACATTTAAAAAGAAAAGTTTGAGAAACTGAAGAAAATATAAATAAATTAAAATAGTCAAAGTCACTTATTAAGACTGGAGTCCAGCAAGTCAATGCAGACCAATGACTCTAAGACAGCGAAGAACAAGTCAGGTGTGCTATATTTTAAGCAAGAGCCTACAGAGCAAAAAAAAAAAAGTATTTGGATGTATTCTCTTGAACTGCTGATGTTTGAAATAAGGCCTAAAGCAGCATTTTTTGTATCAAGATATATATCAGCCATTACTGTGGACCGGTAATACCACACCATTGTTGAGCAATCATTAAATATTCAAAATAAAACATCTTTTAGACTTTATTCTGTTAGTATCAGAGTGTGAATGAACAATTGTTTTATCTTTTAATAAGAAAAACTACATAGATATGACTGGACTAACTGTGGCCTAGTACCAAATGACCTACAGACCGGCACTGATCGAGGTTTGGGGATCCCTGTCCTAAACGATCAGTAAAGACGTTGTTTTTTTTTTCACCAGGTATAAAGACGAGGCAGTAAAAGCCATTCCACCCCAGTTCTCTGGTTAATCCTGTCATCAGGAGATGAGAATAAAGAGCAAGAAAGAGAAGGTGAGGCATTTTTTCTCTCTCTTCTACTGCTCCCTGCAGACTGAGGCTGCACTCAGAGAGCATCATGTTTGGCAGGAAGTGCTGTTTGTCTCCATCCTCGGAGGAAGGATTTTATTGGCTGCAGAGGGCAGAGGAGACCTGCTAGTGATGCCCCCGCCCCCGCCCCCGCGCCTCCCGCCCCCGCCTGCGCGGC